TTTGCTCAGAAAGCTCTCATTAAACCCGATGAAATGGTTCAAGATAAATGCACAAGCTAAAAAGCAGTGACCTAAGCTACTAATTGAAATAGCCATGAAATGATCTCATCTTAAATAAAAACTGTTGAAAGTATGTACTTGGGGGGGTGGGAGGGGTGAAAATCAAAATATTAGAATAACAATTCAAAAAGATGAGTAAGCGGTATCTATTGTTTCCTAAACAAAAACAGTAATATCACCAATGCTGATCTCGCAGGTGCTCACTTCCTGACTACTCTCTTACGCAACTGCCAAAGCACTTGGCTTCCCTCTGACAACATCCAGAATACATGGACCTTCTGCCGCCAAAGAACAACACACACATATATCTAAATGAAGCACCAAATTAGTTCCGTTTATTTTCCAATGCTATAAAGAAGGAAAGTTTGTCTCAATTAACCAGAGAGGGAGGAGTGCTACATAATTACAGTCTGTGTAGTGTATAATGATGCCTAACACATCGCCTATTATAGATACAGTTTGCCGGTATCATGCACTCAAAATCGCCAGGGTCGGAATGCAAAAGCACCTGTGCAAGTACACGGAAAGCCACAGAACTCGAGAACAAAATGTTCACATAAATATGACTGCCTTTCCCACGACTTAAAATTTCAAGATCAGAATCTCACCTCAGACTGCAAAGCATTCCAACAAAATAAGTGGTTAAGACTTTCTGCAGTAAATGATGGTTTCATTTTCCATCTTGAAAGCAAGTTTAGCTTCCTCAGATTACACTAATGCTCTCACTTTCACAAAAGCAAGGCATGTTCCAGAAGACGCCATTAACAACGTAAATAAGCACGTCCTAAAGATATTCTATATCTGAATTAGCAACTTGCCCAGTAGAAAGTCATCCACAACAGGAACAACTTGTGACACTTTCCTGTTATCTTAAGACTCCTGTTAATAGTATCTTTCAATTCTCCTTCTACATTTAGAAATTAAGGAATTTTTCAGAATATAGTTAGAATCCTGAACTTCAGCTGGAAGTTTAGAAAGTCCATAAAAAATGCAAGTAAAAAGAAATAAACCTTTCAGCTGCACTGGCAAAGCAAACAGGACATGTTGCAGTGCATCCAGCTTTTTCACATTTTCTATATTTCTTCTCTGACGCTTCATCATCATCATCTGCTGCTGCTTCAGCCGCTTTCTTCTTCACCTAATAAAGAATAGCTGAAATCTGACCAGAAATTACACAAATACATCTTCTACAAAGTGGCGTTCAGACAGTTTTTCAGCTTGTGAGTGGCATCCAACAGTTAAAATTATACTAATGAAAATCTTTGTATCCATTGTGAAATAGCTGCAGCATGAAACAGCTGTCAAATTAGGTCAGTTTTTTCCAACAAAAAAAAAAAAACACCCCACAAAAAAGCAAGCCACAAACCCACAGTAAGACTGGAAATATCATTTAAAGCTAAAAATGTCTTGCCTTAGTCTAATTGATGCCATTGAAGAAATTATAAGCAAAAATTCCAGTTTAAATTGTATTTTAAGCTCCATCACATGCTAATGACTCAAGCCTAATGCATTCATTCTATTTCTCCTTCAGAAAATCTCTTCTTTGCATAGTTATTGATATTAATTAGTGGCAATCCTATCTGTGCCTCAAATAAAATATTATAGTAAGCTTAGGGCATTTTTTTTGACACAAAACTGTATACCAGATGTCTCTTCTGGGCCTCAAAGGTACTTTGTACTGTGTTGTTTTCAGCCTCTGTGTGGATGGCCAGACAGCTTTTTCTGACTGTATAGAAATCTGTGATTGTATTTTTAACATATTAAATATTAAAAGGTTATATTGAGTATTTATCTTTTCTGAATATCTTTCACAAAATGAGACGCTTTGCCTGCTCATTCCCCCTTTCTGTGGGTAAGTACTCTAAGGCCTAACTTACCCACAATGAAGCTTGCTTTCTTTATGAATGTCAACAGAAAATAAAAAATAGCAAAGGACAAACCCACGTGTTTTTAAATGATTATAAATACCTGTCTTCCAGAACTCCTCACAGGAAGGTTGTCTGGAGATTGATCTGAAGAACATGCCTTTTTTTTCGTTCGTACCCTTCCAGTTGACATTGTATTCTTAGATCTGAAAAAAAGTAGGCAGTAGTTAATAAAAAAGATTAAATTGCTTGTGTTTGAAAAGCTATCTAATCACCTGGGCAGTACATTCACTTATAACACTACTTTTGACAGAGTTATCTAGGTAAGAATCTGTTCAGCTTGACTATTAATTCAGAAAGAAAATGAGAATGAGGCATTAGGGGAAAGGAACAATACTACTATTTTAAACTAAATTTGGAGTTAAGATTAGATCCCTGAGTTCATCTTGACAGGCTGTCCCAGATCAGCATATCCTGGATTTCAATAATCTGATTTGCATTACGTGAAGACCTGGACTGGAATTTGGGTTGCCAAAGCGAAGAGACATCACTTCAATGCTGATGCGAGCATTCAAATACCACTCAGAGCAACACTCATCCTGCTAACTACTGATTTGTTGGTAGCAAGAGATTTGCACTCCAAAGTGCTTTTCCAAACGGTGTACTGGAGAGTTGTTTAATACCAGATGAACAACCAGTTCCAAGACTTGCACACGAAGTGCAAGTACCTCCTATGAAAGTACATCAGAATTTAAAGTCTAAACTGGAGTTGCATTGAAGTTTTAGGTGATTGGAATGTGTACTATAGGAGAAAATAAAAGATTATAGCATGAGAGTGCTCTGTGGCTGTCTTTGACTGCACCGGTAGGAACACAGAAAAGACTACAGTTTACCACATAAACTGGAAAGCACGGACTGTGAGAAAGTATGCAGCAGAAATATGAAAGCATATTCAAAATGGTATTATCAAAGGCATTCTTTTCACAGGGAGTAAAGCACAAATTAGCTTTAGAGAGCCTAGGGGAAGAATTAAATCTATGAGTGCTCTACCATGAAGAGAAAGGAAGTGGAAATAAATCCCTTGTCCAACAGCACTGAATCTTGAATGTTACCTTGTTGTAATAGGGATCTGTTTGTAATTATGTTTCTTTTATATATATATATATATGATACTTCTCAATTCTCCCTCTTCCAGGCTGCATTTTCCCTATTCAAGCTATTAGTGATGGACACGGCAGCAGTATCTTCGTTCAGAAATTCTGCTCAAAGTTAAGGTAACAGGAGGAGAAAACGGGAATTTTCACAAAATTTCAAATAAGGCTGATGCAAATCAAGTAAACTGGTGTCTCATTCGCATCTTGAGATAGAAGAAATTATTTGGGGAAAGAAGAGAAATCACATGATATCCAAGTAAAGCAGATATATTTCACATCAGCAAAAAATAAGTTCAGACAACCCAATATAAAAATAAACTTTTTTTTTGCATGCACTCCCTCCAATTACAACTCAGTAGAGGGATAAAAAAAAGAATTAAGTCAACCTTTTTTACCTAAGGAAAAAAAAAGGCATCACTTCACTATAACTTACCACTGTGTAGGGGTGGATGAGGTTGGAGAGGGGAGGAAAGAAAACCAACTGGTTTCATTTACATGACATTTCCCTAAACTGCTGTGTAACACCCCGGAAAATGGTGGCTTTTTTCCCCTAAAGCTTCCCTTCTGGATCAGTAACACAAAGTATCTCTCTGTATCACCTTAGCTTCTGACTGTAGATAGTCATTCGGACATGACTGTCCTTACATTTGGAGGCTACAAACCACCTCAGCACTGAGCAAGGCACCAGCTGACTCATTTTGGTGGCCAGCAGGTGATCAGTCTGCTTCTGCTGCCAGGCCCTGTATCCAAGAAGGTAAAACACCATGCAGCTGTTTCATTGCATATAAGGGGATTAGAAAAAATAGCACTTGCCAGTCACTAGTAGGTTTGGTAAAAATATTTCACATTGAGAGGCCTCCCATTTTGAAAGGCAGAGGCCAGTTGTACAGAATCGCAGACGTATTTTCACTGTGAGCACTGTGGGAGGGGGAGGCAGAAGGTGGGGAGAAAGGGAGAAAAAGAGATCGGCTTAAGGCCATTACTTACAGCTGTATGTCACTTTGTCCCCACTTTCTCTCACAAACCAAACACCCCCCAGAAAATAACACCAATTTTTAGAGAACAAGTAAACGTGACTTAGTCTACTAACCTTTAAGTGCCTCTGCATCCTATCCTATAGACATTAGCTTACTGGCAGAGAAAATAAGCCCTTTAAAAGGAGAGAAAAGATGCATAATACACTGTCACATTTGATAACGTTTCATCCATCTGTAATGCATGGCCTATACTGGGAAGCTTTGTGGGGTTTACCTGCACAGCTGACAGCAAGTTCATCTCTGGAGAAGGGTAAAAAAAAGAGAAAAAGAGAAAAAAAAAAAAGAAAAAGAAACCACACACACACGTTGACAGCGAGGGAGAGGAAGCGAGAGCAGCCCGATTAACACGGGCAGGGCGGACCACGAAGCGCGCACACCTCTAAAACTCAGCCTTGCGTTAAAGCGCCGGCGCCCAGCCCCGTGGCCACGGGTGACAGCGCCCGCCCCGGGCTGCGCTGTGACAGCTGGCAGTGGGAGCGGGGTCCTGAGCGGAGCCCCGGGGCAGGGCTGTCCCCGGGGCAAGGCTGTCCCCTCAGGGCTGTCACCGGGGCAGGCGGGGCGGTCCCTGGGGGTGCCGGTCGGCGGCGGGGCGGGTGCTGCGGCCGGAGCCTGGCACTCACCTCGGGTCGCTCGGGGACCGGAGACCACATCCACGCGTGTCCGTGCCGCCTCCTGCTAGAGCTGCAGCGGGGGGAAGAAGGGTGGAGAAGAGGGAAGGAAGGGAGGGAGGGAAAGAGAGAAGGGGGAGGGAAGGGAGAAGCGGGGAGGTGAGGGCGGGGGCAGCGGTCGCACCTGCCCCGGGGAGGGGGCAGGCGGCGCCGCAGTGGGTGCTGCAGCTGAGGGAGGGAGTCACTCACCGCTGCCGCCGCCATCCCCAGCGCCACCATCCTCCTCCTCCTCCCCGGTGCCGTGCACCCTCAGCCCGCCTCCTCCTGCCGCCGCTTCCGCTCTCCGCGGTGCGTAGCGAGGGGAAGGGCGGGGAGGCACCGCCCCGGCCCCGCCGCCCCGCGGGACCCGCCGCCGCCGCCGCGCAGGTACTGCCGCCGCCGCCCGGGCCGGGGGCGCTGAGGGGGCGCCGAGGGGGCGGTGCTGAGACCCGAAGGGTCACCCGGCGGGACCCCCCGGCCCCAAGCCGCCGGTCCCCGCTGCCGTCTGCCCTCGGGTTTCCCGTGAGAGAGAGAAGTGTCGGCATCTCCTTCCTCACTTACCGGGGTAGGGGCGGGGGGCTTCCAGATGGGTGCCAAAGGAGAGGCCATACCGGCGATCCCGTAGTGCTGGACAGGGCGCGCTCAGCCGGCTTCGCCCCGGGAAACGGGGTCTGCCTGAAGCCATCAGTAGCAAGAGTGTGCTCTGTCGCGTTCTGTACAGCTGCACTGCGATAGTCACCGAACTGTAATCTTTTCAGATGCACTGAATTTTTGTTCGATTCTAGGAAGTAGGAGCCAATTCCCAACTGTGCGTTGGGTGGGGATAATTTTTCTCTCATTTTTCACAGCTACTAGCACTCCTTGGAGGCGATGGACCACTCAGCGGATGCATCCGGTCCCCTGGAAGACTCTGATATTGGGTCACAGAAAGAGAGAGTGGTAACTGAGGAGGAATGGCTACAAAAATGGGAAATGGGTAACATCGGGTTTCACAAGGAACAAGGGCATCCGTACGTGACTTCACTTTTCTGCCTAAGCTGTTTTAAGAAATGCTGTGAAATTAATGACTTGGCTCATTTGAAAAACTCCTAATTGAAAATGGACTATTTGCAAAAGGAAAATTATTTTGTATGGGCATAGCTTGAAACTAAAATAAATATACGTATTTTTGTGACCTACAATTGTCAAAAAAAAAAAGGACAGAGGAAAGTACTGAAATTAGTTTAGAACTTTTACTCTTAAATCAGGTTTTAAAGCTTGGATAGCTTGGCTAAAAATCTGAAATTTTCTGATGCAGAAGCTTTGCTCTGCTTTTCATAAGTTGTGAAACCGAGGCGTGAAAAACATATGCAGAGGGCACTGAAGCAACTACTGTGCACTGGAAAACAGGGACCTAAGAAAGCAAACCTGATTATGTAGTCTTTCAAGTCCTATGGGGGTGACTTGATGAATAGAGAAGTTCAATAATCATTCTGTTTAAAATCTCTGTTACGGCCCTCTTAGAGGTGGGCAGGTTGGTCTGCTTACTTGAAAAGACAAACAGAAAATAGAGCAACCATAAATGTGTTAATTTCTGATAGAAATGAAATTTACTTTCTAAGTGAATGGACTGTGAATGTTTTTATTTTATGTTTTTATTTCTAATGGCATAAAGCAGGCTGAGCTAAGAACCTGTGCTCTGTCACGCAGTTTGTGTGCTACCTGCCACAGCATGTAGCACTTGGTCTTTAATGCGTCAGCACAAATACTTGCAGAGTTAAGTAAAACGTGTCTGTTCTTCTGCAGGCTCCTCCAGAAGTATCTGGATGTTCTTTTAAATGGCAGAAGTGGACTGCGGATATTTTTCCCACTTTGTGGTAAAGCAGTAGAGATGAAATGGTAAAACACAGATTATAACAGCAAAGATCTCATTTCATATGGGGAGGGGGAGGGGAATTCCCGACCTTATACTGACCAATGGAAATGTGCCACATCTCCACTGGTAGGAAAACAGCATCACTGGAAGCTGAAGGGAGGAGGAAGTTTGGTTTCATTTGCCCGTGTTTTGTATAGCAGTGTAAATGGGATGGATATGGATTAACCTAAAAGTCCTCCTCATTGTCCCAAGTTCAGCTTTGGAAATGCTGAATTTATGACAGACAGAGTGACTGAAGTCCTTACCACTGCTCGTTTTGGCTCGTTTTGCCAGCTTAAATTGGTTGTTTGTGCCAGAGCACATTTTCAAGAGACCAGGTAGCATGTCATGCTGGGAATTTAAATGATTTGGGCTAAATATAACTTCCTCTCTTTTTACATTTACTATTTTCTTTTTACCTTTTTTTTTTGGTGGAGGTTATTTTGTAATTAGGGCCTATATAAGTCAGTGTTTTTTTCTTGGAGAGGGTGGCACAAACCAAAAAACTCTGATTGAACTGCATCCTCAAGGAATCTAGTTAGTCCCAGTTATCAGATTTTATCACAGTAACTACTTTCCCAGCTGACTACAGGCTCTGACACATTTTGCTGTTGTACTGAGCTGCAGGAGTGCAGAGGTTACCATAACTCGCTGCCTGTTCCTGCCAAGCCACAGAGCCAGCTGGGTGGACAACGTGCCTCAGCTGCTGCAGTTCAGAGCAGAACACGTTTCTGAAATGGACAGTTTCTCTGTGTGATCACCTGTTTTCATTCATAATAGTTCATTGAATTTAAATAAAGCCTCTAAATCCTTGTCAACTGTATGTCAAGTGGTGCTAATTTAAGCTCAGATCATGGAGGGGAGGTGTTCGATATAATATGAATGGTCCAGAAAGTCAGGATTAGACATGCCAGAGCATCCTAAAATCAGGGTTTCCCTAGTCAATAAATGCTGCATGAGAGATACACTTTTGGTAAAGGCCCAACCTGTGGGCCTCACATAAACTTGGCACTTCTCTCTTCTATGCGCAGGCTGGCGGACATGGGACACAACGTTGTTGGTGTGGAAGTCAGCGAGCAAGCACTGAAGGAATTTTTTTCAGAACACAGTCTGCCTTATTATGAGGAGCCAGTCCCAGAGATTTCAGGAGGAAAAATGTTCCAGGTATGTTTCCTGCATTGTCAAATGATCTGATGTCATTAATCATGCAACGCAGGCATAACTGAGCAAACAAGTCGTTCTGCTTTTATACCTTTGTTTTACTGGTAATCTTTCACCTCTCCTGAAGAGGTCTGAAAGGAAGCTCTGAGTTGCAGTTTTGGACTGAGAAGTTATTCATTTGAACTTACAACTTTGGCCTTCTTTTCTTATGATAGTGAAGCACCTGAGGAAATGTAAGGGGAATGTATTTTAAAATTGGACGGTTGCATGTCTTGATAGGCTAGAACCTCTCTGGAGGAGATCAGGAGAATTACCTCAGTAAATTAAAACTAAAAATATTTCTCACAGTTTTTCCCAATTACACATAAATGTATATTTTAAGATAGTATACGTGTGTGTTTTAAGGTGTAAAGTATAAATATATACTTATGCATGCATATTTAAAGATAGTTTGCTGATAAGTATTTTTTCCTTCGCTTTTTATTGTAGAGTACCTCTGGCAACATTTCCCTGTACTGCTGCAGTATTTATGATTTGTCCAGGTAGGAATACACAGTGTGTTTTACAATTCTATATAACAGAACGTGCATTAAGACTGTCATAATACAGCCATTATTTTACTTGAACCAGACATAAAGATTTGTCAGGTTCTCTCCAAAAATATCCCATTAACTTGTATGAGAAATGTAAATAGCCAGTCTCCAACAAGAACTTAACTTTGACCATTAGGGATGCCGACTAATTATCTTTAAATGGGCTTCTTGTTCAAAGCTATTCTGTGAAAGCTATAGAAAACCATGTTTGCTTTTCAGTAAAACCAAAGTTATCTTTGACATTATTGTTGAATTCTATGAAGCAAAACACTAGCACTATCCCTTAATCGGAGTAGCTTTATGAAAGTAAAGAGAGTATACCCAGAGGTGTCCCTCCTCTTGCACTTCTTACCCAGACATGATTTTCCTTAGATTATAACGTTTTGGTGAAGCTTTTTGTGTTCGTTTGCTTTTCTTACAAACAACTGTCAGGAACAAGAATTTGTTCCATGACTGTTCAGTAAGAAGAAGGAGGTCAAGTCTTAGTCTTTACTTCAATGGGCTTTCCAGAGCTAGTAGATATACAGGCTTAATAGGTAGTTTAGGATGCTAGAACATGGTGTTTACAGTACAATCCTTTTTTTTTCCCTCAATCTGCATAAATTGGAAGACTGTTCATTGCTAGAGTCCAAAGTCTTTCAGCCACTAGAACCTTTACTAAGACTTCTGCTCCTGCAGCTGACTCCAATTGGTTTGAGTAGTGTATGTGTAACTAGGCCTGCAAAGTGAGTGCCTTGGAACAGATGGGCTGTTTATGAACGTGACTTTGTAGATACTGCCTGGTTTCTCCCCCGCCTTGCCCCTGCAGTGTAGCTAGTGCTGTGTAGATCCCTATAAATCCTTCTTCCTGTGAGCTGACAAATTTCTCAGAGATTACTTAAGCTTCTCAGAAATTTTTGAAAAATTCAATTGTAAGTTTTGTAGCAAGTAGTGTGGTGAAACCTGTAACTTCCATCACAACGTGGTGGAATTATACTTTGAAATGAACACAATTAGGTAATTAGTGGCAATTTCGGTGCATATTACTGGATCCAGTGTATAGTTTCTTGTTGACAAAATAAATTGGCAGATTGATGTTCTGGATGCAGAATGAACTGCATTCGCTAAGCAGTCAGCAGATACCCATGACTAGAAAAATGCACACACTCTTCCAGTTTCTGTGTACAGACAATTTGATTAATTACCCAGTAATTATGGAAATTAAACTTATTTCTCTCTTGCTGAGCTTGGCCTACTAACAGGTCCTTTTGATCTCCATTAGCCTAGCATTCATTAGAGGAGAACTCAGACATGCTCCTGACCTTTGTTAGAATGGGTCATTTCATAGACTCTTGCTAGTTAAAGAGTAACAGGAATTACTGCTCTTTGTGGGAGCTCAGGGGCGTATGTAAAACAGTTATATTACACAACCATGGTACCTCCTAATACAATTATGGCTGCAAGACTTTAAAAAAAAAAAAAAAAATTGCATTGACTGATACTACTAAACATATGCAGAGATAGAAATTCACAAGTCTATTCCTTAAATCCAGTGGGTTTTCCACCAGTATGTGAATTTCTGATTTGAGTGTTAAATTTTGTTAGTTGTAGTAGTACCTAACTGCAGATGTGCAGATGGGCAAGGAGCACCCAGACACTCGGCAGGTCCTGAGATCTGGGCAACCAGGAGATCAGGGCGAGGCCACAGCATGAGCCTGCCTCCAGCCTGCGATGACTGTAGGCCCTGATGAAATCTGTGGAGAGTAGAATATATGAAATGCCTGGATGGAGCCACCACCACCATTCCAGTTAGACCAGATTAAAGCTGGGAACAAAAACTGAGTGCAGAAAACTTCAGTGGCTGGGCTGAGGTCATGCAGCAGACTTGTCTATGCAGAGAGGTGAACAGCCTCCAAGCCTCAGAAGATCAAGTTTATCACCTGCTCCACTAGACTTTCCTTTGTGCTCCACAGATCCATTGCTTGCTTAACTGTATCCTTAAAAATCTCCCTTCAGTTAAGGGGGGTGGTTATTTAAATTGGATGCTTAGACTTGGCAAACTTTAAAAGAAGTCAGCACTTGAAAGTGTTATCATGTCTCATCTCAGTAGAGTGGGAAATACAGGATCAGCTTCTAGGTTAGATGCCAGAGACTTAGCAATGCCATTGCAATGAAAAAAGCAGTGGGCAGAGAGAAGTTGTCGTTGTTTAACCCTGGCTCGCAGTGAAGCACGACACAGCTGCTTACCCACTGCCCCTGTCATGGGACAATCATAAGAGTAAAAGTGAGAAAGAAACTTGTGGGTTGAGATAAAAACAGTTTAATAATTAAAAATAAATTTAAAAAAGAAACTGTAAGAAAAATTAAAAATAAAAATCAATGACCAAAGAGAGAGGAAAATAAAACCCCAGAAAGACAAGTGGTGCAATTGAAAACAGTAGTCTACCACCAATCCCCAAGCAGCGACCCCTCCTTCCCCCGCAACCTCCCTTCCAGTTTTTTTTGCTTAGCATGAGACCATATGGTCTGGAGTATCCCTTTTCTCAGTTGGGGTCAGCTGTCTCAGCTGTGTCCACTCCCAGCTTCTTGTGCACCTCCAACCTACTCACATCATGGTGTCATGGTGTGGAGCAGAAAAGGCATTGATGTAAGAGCTGCTCAGCAGTAACTAGAACATCTATGTCTTATTAACACTATTTTCAGCACAAACCCAAAACATATCCATCCCCATGAAAGTTACTAGGAAGAAATATAACTCTACTCCAGCCAAAACCAGTACACAAATGAAGACAGAGGTGATGCAATTGGACTCTGACGCCTTCCCAGTAGGCCAAAAGGTATTGCACAATTCCAAGCCATATTTTTCTCACTAAGTAAACCTATTCAAACTTTCCTTAAAGTTATGCAATTTACATTATTACTACCTTATTCTCTAAACTCCTTTTTAATAATTACCAGAAACAAGGCTTTTCCTCATGCCCCAAATATTCTTATCTTAGTGTCACCCTGACTGCTCTTACCACCCATCAGTAAAGGTGCTTCTCTATAGTCTTGCCCACTTGCAGGTTTTGGATGATCACTGAAGCCATCTGCCAGCATAACCAGAAGCAAAAATAATGTCAGCGGTAGTGTTACACTGAGGCAAACAGCAGTTTTACTTAGCTTTTCCAACGTTAAAATAATTGAAAGCTGAAGCTAACTGTCCTGGCCATGTAGCTGGGAGTTGAGGCGTCTAAAGTTGCTGGATGTGCTGACTTCAATGATAGTAAAGCAACAAGGCACCTTCCTTAGCCTGCATTTGAAATCATACATGGGTTTTAGAAGGTGGTCAAGAAGTGTTGATGTGCTGAGTATAATAATATAAACAGTACGGTCAGTCTTCAACAGTTTAAGATCCAGGGAAGGTCTTACACTTCCAGCCTGCGCATTGGATTTTTTTAGGTGAGACACAGGGTGTGATTACCAAACATCCAGACTCATAGCCTGACTGTGTTAAAGCTACATTCCTTCCTCCCTGCCTTGTCTCAGCACCCCCTAATGATTGGGAAACACCGACCAGTTCCAGCACCTTTTTACTATTGCAGCAAGGCCATGTACCAGGGAGGCTTTATGAGTCCCAGATCACACGGGCTTGGATCCTGAAAATGCTGCACCATAACAAAAAGTTAGCGGTGAATCTGCGTCCTTGTGACTTCACAAAAGGATCTGATTAAAGATGAAGATGCCTTTTTACTCTTCTTAAGCCTTTTCCTTATCTCCCTATAGCTCAATAGTTGGCAAGTTCGATGGAGTTTGGGACAGAGGAGCTCTTGTAGCTGTGAATCCATGTGACAGACAACGGTTAGTAAATTGCATTGTTATTGTCTTTATTCTGATGTATGCAGCGACAGGTTTCTCCTTCTGCCACTTGTTGATGAGTCCTCTTTCGTTTAAAGGGCTAACCTACACAAGTTTTTCTCTACCGCAAGCATCTGCTGCTGTCGCAGAGTGCTGTACTCTAGATCTGTGAACTTCCTTCAGGAAGCCGCCTCGCCTCTTGGTGGGAAAATATGTGGTTTGTTCCAACCCATTAGAAGCAGAGCTGCAAGTCTCATCTGAATTCTATTATTTCCCTTTCACCACATCTGCTTCTTTTCTCTGTGTTCTTTTTCTTCTCACTTCCCTTGATTCCAAATTTTTGTTCTTGCCTATAGCCAACCCCAATTTAGTTTGAACCTACTCCCAGGATCTTTTAATTAGATACATAACCTTGAATTCACAATAATTTTAAAATTTGGTTTGTCTGTTAGTTTTGAGTTGAATATGCAAAAAAAAGGATAAATACTTGTTTGTGAGGAGTAAACATAACCCTTACTTGAGGTTTTTCATGTGTAGCATGAATTTCATGCTCCTGAAATTCAAACTAAATTTTGTTTAGTCTCTGTGCAGTTCAGTTCAAATGCATAGAAATGCATGTTGCCTCTTTTGTTGAGTATATTGAATGCTATGCTTGAATGCTTTACAAAAGTAACATAAGTTATATGTTATATATACATATATATATAAAAAGGAATAACTTTTTCCTTTCAGCTACGCCAGTTTGATGATCAACCTAATGGAGAAGAATTCTTCTTATCTCCTTGTTACAGTTTCATATGATCCAAACAAACACAAAGGTGAGAACTTTGTGCTGTTCACGTTATGATTTCGTGTGCTTTAATACAAAAGGCACCTTGTATATAGGGGTAATATATGTATTTGTATCTTCCCCAAGTTTTTTATCTCTCTAGATTTGTTAGCTGATCACACCAGTATAACTGTGTGTTAGAAATTTTAGATGTTGACCAAGCTTGAGACTAAATTTGGGTTTTCTCTAGCATTCAGACATGTTAAGGGTAAGTTGAGGACAGACATGGTATATTAACAATAAAATGAAACTGGAAGTGTGGCTGTGACAATGAAGCTGGAAGTGTGAATGCTTAGTAACATCCTGTCTGGCCTCCGGAGCTTGAAACACTCCCAAGAACATCAGCTTTGCACTGTTTACCCAATGCTTGCAACCAAATGTGCTGCCCATCTTGTGCCTCTCTCCCAGTCCCTACCATGTTCTGAATATACTTGGAAGAGGTGGAATTTTATAAAATCATAAGGTATTCTTTCCTTTTATATTATATACTGAAGTGTGAGGTATTTTAAAAGATTATATTTTTTGTTATTATTAACACGCAAAAGAAAGAGATTTCTTGCTGCTTTTGGGCCCCTCAAGGTAATTATCCCTGAAAAAAATAGGTCTTGTTTAATTCATTGCTTTCCATCTCGCATTGTTCAACTTTTAGCTTTAATTATGCTATTGTAGTATAAAGAGGTCGAGGCTGGATTCACACAGCACACTGAGAGTGGTTGTATCCACATCACATTCATGATTCCCTGGATGTAGCTGGAGATGATGCAGCAGCAACACCTGAAGCTGTCTGGTGGCCCACCAAGGTGCCACAAGTTCTTAGTTGTGTTGTTTTCTGGTTGCTGCTGATGGTGCTACATCCTGGGGCCCAATTACAGGCCAGGTGTTTGCGTGAAGGGGCTGGCTCTCCTACTGCAGTGTAAATGTTTGTCTTCTTCCAGTGTCTCCTGTGTGATTAGCTTCACCCCTTTTCTTTCAGGCCCCCCATTTTATGTTCCTGAATCTGAAATTAAAAGCTTGTTTGGTAAGTAATATTTCAGCTAACACTTAGGAATTTTTTCCAAAATGCATAAATGTGTTTATATGCCTCTACCTTGCTCTGTGACGAGTGATACAGTTATTTGCTTCTTATCTAAGGGCTGGAGTCATGGAAAAATACCAGAAAAAATAAATACCATTTAACCACAGGGATTTTGCTGTCAAGGAAAATTCTTGGATCTCCAAAGGATATGAAGAAAACCTGGGAGACAAATAGTCTCTTGCCTCCCTGTGGCATCTTTTTTTATTCTCCCAGGCTTCATACTGCACTCAGTGATCTTGTAGCTGCTGTCTTAGTCCCACTTGACCATTTTGTCTCTGTCTGCACCTCTGCACCTCATCAATCCGCTGCCCTGATTTTAATATAAGGCCTACCAGTTCTACATTTTCTGCTGTACTTTTGTGACAAAGAAAAAGAAGTAACATGCTACACAAAGAAAATGCTAAAAATGTACAGCTCAAATCCATTAAAATAATGAACGTTGGAGTTATGGCAGGAATTTAATTTTAAAAGTTCCTTTTGATATGCTTTAAAATTGCTCTTTAATTTACAACTTTCTGAGACTCCTGCAGTGTTTGTGTGCAGTGAGTCATTGGTATAGACAGTTACATCCCAGTGCAAAAGAGACAGACAAGTTTTCTCAAGTGCATTTATGTCACTGCATTAGGGACTGTAAGGAAATCTGTGTATAAGATTTATTTTTTTCTGGATAGTTTTCATTTTTCACTGACTAATCAGTCACCAATTTGTTACTCTTTCCTTTTTTTCAGGTAACTGCTGTGAAATTCAGTGTCTTGAAAAAGTCGATGACTTCTCAGAAAGGCACAAACGATGGGGACTAGATTATTTTCTGGAGGTGCTATATATACTAAAGTTTGTATCTTGATTAAAATTAATCAAAATAACTTGCCTCCCATCCTGCTTTTATTTTTACCTCACATTTTAAAATGGGGCATTCTTAAAGCAGGCTCTAGTGTACAGAAAATTACCTATGGAATATTTTTGTCCACGAAGTGGACTCTTCTACACAGTTGCCTTCACTGCCTTGATATGTGCACAGATTTTCTTAAACTCCATGCACAAACAAGCATTATTAAAGTATATCTTTTTCTTACATATCAATTGAAATCATCTGAGCTGGAAGAAAAAAACGTTCCTGTTCCTTTTTGGCTGTTGCTACTGGCTGCCCAGCACTCTGTGGATCAGCCTTGCCAGCTGGCAGCCCTGGGAGCAGTGGTCAGCTGCTGTTCAAACACTGTTTCCGCAGTGCTGGCCTTGCACCAGACCAGGCAGCTGGGCAAGAGAGGTGGGAAGCTGCTGCAAGTTGCTTCTCTATGTCCCTGTTAGTTGTGAATATAAGTCCCATGAAGAGCTGGCAGTGAGCAGGCAAGGGAAGGCAAGGCAGCAGCTGACAAAGGGGAGTTACCATCAAGCAAGAAAGACTGGAGGGAAGCAAACTGGGTGATAGTAGAGGGGAGAGTATGAGGAGAAAATGTCCTGGCAGTCCTTCAAAAGTGTGCTGCTCCCTCACTCAAGAGTGCAGCTATGAGCTGGCGAACCAGCACAGGGCTTGTAGGGTGAGAGGGTTCAAAGAGTGCCGAGGGAGCTGTGGGTATTATTGCTAAACCATTTTCCATCATCTTTGAAAGGTCATGGAGAACAGGAGGGGTGCCTGAGGACTGAAGGAAAGACAGTGTCACTCCAGTCTTCAAAAAGGGCAAGAAGGAGGATCTAGGCACCTGCACGCCAGTCAGCCTCACCTCAGTCCATAGAAAGGTGATGGAACAACCCATCCTGAATGTCATCTCTAAGCATGTGGAGGAAAAGGTTATCAGCGAGTAGTCAACATGGATTCACCAAGTGAAAATCATGCTTGACTGATCTGATAGACTTGTATGATGCAATGACTGTCTGGGTAGATGAGGGAAGAGCAGTGGATGTTGTCTACCTGGACTTCAGCAAGGCTTTTGACACTGTCTCCCATAACATCCTCATAGGGAAGATCTGGAAGTGTGGATTGGGATAGTGGACAGTGAGGTGGATTAAGAACTGGCTGAATGGCAGAGCTCAGCGGGTTGTGATCAGTGACACAGAATCTAGATGGAGGCCTGGAGCAAGTGGTGTTCCCAAGGCTTAGTACTGGCTCCAGCCTTGTCCAGCTTATCCATCAGTGACCTCAGTGAAGGGACAGAGCATACCTGCAGTAAGTTTGCAGATGATACAAAACTGGGGGAGTGGCTGACACACCAGAGTGCTGTGCTGCCATTCAGCAAGACCTGGACAGGCTCAAGAGCTGAGCAGAGAGGAACTTAGTGAATCTCAATGAAGGCAAGTGCAGGGTCCTGCACTTGGGGAAGAATAAGCCCAGGCATCAGCACAGGCTGGGAAGTAGCTCTGCAGAGAAGGACCTGGTGATCAACAGGTTAGCCAGCAGTGTGCCCTTGTGGCCAAAAACACCACTGGTCTCCTGGGATGCATTAGGAAGACTGTGGCCAGCAGGTTGAGGGAAGTGATCCTGCCTCTCTAATGAGCCCTAGTGAGGCCACATCTAGAGTGCTGTGTCCAGTTCTGGGCTCCTCAGTACAAGAGAGACCTGGACGTACTGGAGTGGGTCCAGCAGAGGGCTATGAAGATGCCTAATGGACTAGAGCATCTCTCTTATGAGGACAGGCTGAGAGAGCTGGGATTATTTATCCTGGAGAGGAGAAAACTGAGAGGAGACCATCAATGCTTACAAATATCTTTAAGGTCTGGTGTCAAGAGGATGGGACCAGACTCCTCAGTGTTGCCCAGCAACGGGACAAGGAGCAACAGGCCCAAACCAAAACACAGGAAGTTCCATCTGAATATAAGGAAAAACTTCTCTACTTTGAGGGTGACTGAGCACTGGAACTTTTCCCCTTTGCACCTTATTTTGAAAGGAAAGTATGATTGTGATGTAGTGTATCATAGTTCATCAAGAATAGAAGGCAAGTAAAAGCCATGAGGCTTTTTAGAGTGTTGTAGTCCTAGAGCTGGAAGTGGGTCTAATGCTTTTAGCACAGCAGTCCTCATGCCTACATTCCATTGCAACACTTGATATTGTTTGTAGATATTTATGTTTCAAGGTCAGATTGACAGAGAGAAAGGATGTAGCCAGTGGGCCAGAGCAAGCTCTGAGCTGTTATTTTTGTATGTTTTCACTTCTGGTCACTACTGCAGCTACCAGGATAAAGCATCCCCTTTCTTTCAATCCAGAAATTTTTTTCTGGATGCAATGTGAGAGCTGCTGAAGTTTATCTTGGACTTCCAGACACGTGATAGCCTCAGAAGGCCAGGTGCTTGGCATGAGGCTGCTGCGTGCTCCGTGATGTCCTGTGCAGGACTTTCAGGTATGTGACAACCTAGCAAGAGCAATGCCACATGCCAAACGAGCCATTTTGGGATGTGTAAGATGCCTCTGCATGTGTGTACCCTGCAGTAACTCTGAAAATACACTGTAAATACACCTTGCAGAACAAGCACATGCTGTCCATTGTACCTTAGAAGATGTGTGTCCGAGAAAGATGTCTACTAGTGATGAATGTAAATATTTTCATTGTGTTGTCTAAAGTTTCCCAGAACAGCAAGAGAAATCCGATGAAATAAAGATGCTCAGAGGGACGGACCACCTCTCCTACGAAGAAAGGCTGAGAGAGTTAGGGTTGTTCAGCCTGGAGAAGGCTCAAGGGAAACCCTATAGCGCCTTCCAGTATCTGAAGGGCCTCCAGGAGAGTTGAAAAGAAACTTTTTTCAAGGGCATGCAGTGACAGAACAACGGGTAATGGCTTCAAACTGACAGAGGATAGGTTTAGACTGGATATTAGAAAGCCATTCTTTAGTGTAAGTGTGGTGAGACACTGGCACAGATTGCCCAGAGAAGCTGTGGATGCCCCAGGCATGGAAGTGTTCAAGGCCAGGTTGGATGAGGCTCTGAGCAACCTGGCCTAGTGGGAGATGGATACCCCTGCCCATGGCAGGGGGATTGGAACTAGATGATCTTCAAGGTCCATTCCAACCATTGTATGATTCTGTGAAACCGTGGCTTACCTCCTTACTCCGGTAGGGGTGTAAATAGCATTAGAAGTGATGTGGCAACTTGGCAATTGGATGTCTGTAAGGATCTGGTGGATATATGAATAATCTGGTGGCTATATGAATCATCCGGCGGAGACGGGAGCGCTCGGGTGGATATCTGAACGCTGTGCTGGGTATCTGAATACTCTGGCCGACGCGGGAGCGCTGCGGGGCCCCAGCGGGGCGGGCAGCCCGGGCCCCTGAGCGCCGTGCCGCCGGCAGCGCCGCCCCGCCCGGGCTGGCCCGCAGGGGGCGCTCGGCCGCCTCGGCCGCGCTCAGCGCCCGCCCCGCTCGGCCCGGAGGAAGCCGAGGCGGCTCCGGGGGAGCCATCCCACCTCCTGCGGCCGGGATGGCGGCGGAGGACGAGGCGGAGCTCAGCCTGCTGGAGTGCCGGGTGTGCTTCGAGCCGTACGGCCCCGACGGGCAGCGGCGGCCGCGCAACCTGCCCTGCGGGCACGTCCTGTGCGGGGGCTGCGTGGGGGCGCTGGGCCAGCGGCGCCTGGAGTGCCCCTTCTGCCGGCGGCCCTGCGGCCCCGCCGAGACCAGCGACTGCCGCCCGCTGCTGCAGCTGCTGGAGCTCCTGGGCCCCGCCGGCCGCCTCGCCGGGGCCCTGGGCGGGAGCGCCGGCCGAGGGGCGGCCGCGCCGGCCCCCGCGGGGCTCGGTCTGCGGCTGTGCCTGGGCGGCTGGGGGTCGCTGGTGAACCCCACCGGGGTGGCGGCCTGCCGCGGCACGGGGCGCCTGGCCGTGGCACACGACGGCAAGAAGAGGATCCACGTCTTCGGGCCCAGCGGGTTGTGCCTGCAGCGGTTCGGGGAGCGGGGGGACGCGGGCAACGACGTGAAGTACCCGCTCGATGTGACGGTCACGTCGGACGGGCACGTGGTGGTCACCGACGGCGGGGACCGCTCCGTGAAGGCCTTCGATTTCGAGGGAAGGGGGGTCCTGGCGGTCCGGGAAGGCTTCCGTTTGCCCTGGGGCTTGGATGCCACCCCCAAGAGTGAAGTCATCGTGGCCGACTCGGAGGCAGGCGCTCTGTACCGCCTGACGGCCGACTTCGGAAGGGGGGAACTGAAGAAGTGTCAGATGATCCGGGCTCAGCTCGTCAGCCCCAGAGCGGTCGCGGTCTGCCAGACCTCGGGGGCTGTCGCGGTAATAGAGCACCTGAAAGCTCAAGGACTGAACAAGGACAAGGGCAGCACCCGAGTGAAGATATTCAGTGCGGAGATGGATCTCATCGGCCAGGTGGATAGCTTCGGTCTGAACCTCGTTTTCAGCTCCCAAATGTATGCTACGGCTGTGACCTTTGACAAAGAAGGTCGTGTTATAGTAACGGATGTGTGTAGCCAGGCCGTAATATGCTTAGGGAAACCCGAGGAGTTTCCCATGTTTAACCCTCTAATTAGCCAAGGGCTTTTTTATCCTGTCGGACTGACTTACATAGCAAATGATTCGCTCGTCGTTTTAGACAGTGGTGATCATTCAATAAAAATATTTAGCTCTACCTGAATGGTTTAGATGCTTACTGCTACAGGTTTAAGCTGCTTTTGGCCATAATGCATGGAAAGTTCTGGTGCTTGTAGGCACATAGAGAGGAGGTGGTTTCTGGGCTTTATGGTGAAATCACCCCCTGAGCAACATGCTGTGCTTCCTGCAAAACTTATGTTGGATCTCATGCCTACCTGTTGGGAGAAGACCTGGCTGTTGCTGGCTGTAGTCAACAATTAATCAACCAAACAAATAATTTGGCATTTTAAATCTAGCCCATACCTTGAAAACTAAACGGTTTTGGTCCTTTTTGATGAGTAATGAAAGACCAGCACCTGTGAAAGTGATGCATCATTCATTTACATTTCCCAGCACACAGTTTTCATTGTTCTTAATCATATATACACTCGTGGGGTTGACAGAGCTTCTGTTTTCAGGAATTCCAGCTTTCTTGCTTCCACAAGAAAAGAGTTTGGCTTGACAAAATGAGAGGAGAATTGGTAGCTTCCGTTCAATGTTGCCTAAATCCAGCTAAGATCATTGCAATGGAGGAGCTACCACTGATGAGTGAGTTATGTGGTGTTCAAAGCCTATTTTTTCTATACCAGGAAAACACATTTCTAGGAGGACCCTTCTCTCTACTAGTTTAGTCCCACCTTTATTAGGGTTGTACTGGAGCACTCTGTCTTCCTCTAAAATGCCCAAATTGTCTTTACCTAATCTGGTGTGTGGTTACACAGCATGGGCAGCTTTCCCTAAAAGCTCCTTTGAAGTAAGGGTGTTTAAACCACAAATCTCTTGCCTATGTAAATTTGAGTTGGCTGTGCTGCTAACACAACTGCACTTAGTAGGTTTTCAATACTGCCTGCTCCTGTTTTGGCATTAATATGATGGTTTTGCACCCAAACTGGAGGATTCAAGTGCAAATTGAAATGTTAGTGAGAAGTAATAGAGAAAGAGGGAAGTTTTTTCCCTAGGTTCAAAATGAGGTTTTGTTGATTGTGAATATATAGGAGGTTTAGATCAGTTTATATTCTCTTGAAGACAGTTTCACTATGGACACAAGTTCTGTTGCCTTGTGGAAATTACAGTATATCTAAATTATGCTGAGAAGGATTAACATCCCCACTAGAAGTCACTGCTGCTAAAATGATTACTCAGACAGTGTTAAAATGAAGTTAGATATAAATGTGAATGCTATCTGAGATAGAGACAAGTAGGTTAAAATGTCATAAAACTTTTGGAGTAATTTATTTAGTAGCTGAAATCATTAATATTAACTAATGTAATTGGAAACTCGGAGGCAATCTTTCTATCAGAAAATTTTTTATCTGACTTTTGGTCTGACTTCAGGGCATTTAATAACTGCATGTATTGCTGCACCAGTGATTTACCAAATACTTACCTTAAATTGGAGCAGTTTAGTCCTCTCATTCAGACAATGTATTAATCTGTCTTTTGTTAACATTTATATAAACAAAACAAATCTGTTAAATGCAGCTATTTGTAATGGCTAACTGAACAGTGACCTGCCACTAAATCGTGATTTGCTTATTCCTATATTGGAATAATTTAGTGAAAATTCCTCATATGTATTCATCATGGGTTTTTCTGTTACAATACAATTTCTCTATCACAGTTGCCCTGTAAATGGTTTCTTTTTCTGTCTGGAAATATCCTGCTGCAGTTGTTGTAGGGCCATTTGTTGCTACTGAAAATTATGTGGACCTGTAAACTTGGTCTTTCTCACCATTCCCTACTGCCATGCTGATCAATAAGTGCCTTTGGAAGAACCAGAAATCCTCCTTGGCTATTTTGCAGTAGGAGGTGTATGGTCCTGAGCAGAAGCCCTGTTGAGAGATCAGGAGGGAAATTTACTCAGAGAAGCATTCACTTGGATTGTATATTCCTTTCTAGGTGCCAAGGAGAAGTCTGTCTTTGAGGGATATAGAACCAATTAGAGAACACTTCCTTTAGGGAACTGCTGTGTGTCAAAAAGCATGCAATGCCATCAGTGCCATCAATGCTGTATTCATACACAATAGTTTGTTGCAGTAGCAATTCCTCTGAAGCACGGGCTGTGAGCTTTTATCTCCTTAAACCTTCATGTGCACCAGAAGCTTGGTTTTGCTTCTGGCCTCATCGATGGGCAAATTTCCTAGGATCTACCGCCATGTAGGCAACTTTGCAGTAGCTGAAATGACGATTTTTAAACATTTGACTCACACTGTTTTAAAATCTACAAAAACTCCCATTGTTAGCCATTGTGCTCCTGTCTGGTTTGGTATATGACTAGAAATCACTTGATTTTTTGGGTTTGTAAACAAAATAAACCTTGTACCTTTATTCTACCTAGTTTACTGGGTACCATCTCCTGCAGTCTCTGCTTGACCTACCTACTGAAAGCAAATGTAGACTTCTTCTCTGGATGATGCAGATGTTTTCCTTTTACTATATAGCCTGTTGCTTAGTGTTGCACAGCCCTGCATCAAAGGAACCATTACGTTCCCTCTTAATTCATTTGATGCAGGTGCCTAAATTGAGAAGCCATAATGAACTGTTATAAAACCAAATATTAAAAATTTTGAGTTCTCTGTTGTCTAAAGGAAAATGCAGCAGTAAAGCTGAAAACTTTCTTTTGACACAGAGGACAATTTAAGAGATAATGAGAAAGAGATCCACCAATACGCTGATAACAAACTAAAAAGTCTCTGACATTTTTACTTACTCTTGCCCTTTCCTTTATGTGTATATGTACATTTCCCCTATAGCTACTGCAGATATCCATTGCCTTCAGGATGACACCTTAATGCCATCTGCTTTTCAAAGGTTCAGGGGAAACTTAGTCCTGTGAATCTGTTGGAATTTAGTCATAGATTTCAGCAAAACAAAAACTTGTGTTGTGAGAGAGGGAGGGCAAATGGCGAGGGGCCCATGCTTGAACAGATATCCTTAGGTAGGTGATGTTTTTGGGTTCTGACTGGTTGTACTTGGAATGGGGATAGATAGATGTGTGCTTACCTTTAGGATAGAGTGGTGGCCATTTCATCTAGAAAGTAATGTGGAGCTGTGTCTAGTCGCTTCGGTGATAATTACTGTTGAGTTTAGTTTTAAAAAACCACCACCTTTGCATGACTCTCTGAACCTCATGCTCTAGCCATCTGGATTAAAAACAAATAAACATAATGGACAGTATCCTTCTAATGTAATCTCTTCAGCCCCCTAGTAGAGATTGCTGTGTCTGTTGTGCACACACACACTGCAATTCCTATTTGGTTTATTTTTAAGCACTGATCTCAGGTTGCTATCACTGCATACAAATATATCAGGGTATGTTTACAGTGTCAAGGAATTAAAGGAGTCAGAAGAGTTTCAGAAATGTGTATTGAAATGGTGTTCTGTAACGCATATATTTTTTGGTTGGTTTGTGAAGAAAATAATTTTAGATAAGGAATATAATCTATATTTCAGATTGATTAATGAATAGAAGGGAGAAAGTGAAAAAAAAAAAGGAAAAATTTACTTCATTTTGGCCGTTGTCCATTTGAGGATCTGTCTGTTCCTTCCAGCCCCATTACTATGCACACCAGTTTGATGTTTATATTTTCCCAAAGCATGGATGTAACACCTCCATAGCATTTTTTTAACATGGACTAATTTCAGGGGAAGAGGGGACCTCCTGTAATATCCAGCTCCCAACCGCCTAGCAGTTTTATAGAGCAGGTCCATCAAAATAATGGCCTTGAATAGAGAAGACCTTTCAATTCTGGAAGGGTTGATGGAGGTCAAAAAGCAGCTTTCTCCTCTGGGGCCCCTGTGAGTCATGGTGCTGTTGCACCCTGCACAGGAGGAATTTACTGTCTTTTCTTTCTCTTCACTGTTTGGGGTTTTTTATTACTCTTCTCAGAGGCATATCCTTATAGTTTACAAGTCACCTGTGAGTCACAGCTTGCCTCTACAGGAGTAAAAAAATACACATATTTTGCATATGAGTTTTAAACCTCACCCTTCATTCAAGCATCTCAGGACAACTGACAGATTGTTCAGAGAACAGCAAGTACCTATTTGATACAGTTACATAAACATCCAGGCTTTCCCTAAACTGCTTCCTTCATATAACACGTCTGATTCTCCTGGGCAGCTTCAAAGCTCTCTGATACAGGAGAGGTTCTCCGGGGGCAGATGATGCATTTACACCCTTTTCTCACTGCTGCTTTCCAAGAGATCTACAGATATTTCTGAACTTGGCACTCCAACCTCTCTTTGAGGCAAACACAGTACAAATGTCTTGGCCCTGCAGCTGCAGACAGAACTGAGAATCAAGGGAAGCCTTTGGCTAGATCTCAGAGTTCCCATTACAAGGTTAGTACCTTAATAAAACAGGGAAAGTCTGTATTTAATAATCCTCTTGTCTGGGAGTTGCCTTTTTGATTTTGGAAGAAGTTTTGACGTTTTGCTGATGATCTTCTAGTTACTAATTCCTCTGGTGTTTCCTACAAATCATGGAAATTAATACTTTTCTAAACCACAATGTATTCCTCGATAATTGCTTCCACTGTGCTCCACGAAGGTGTGTGGTTTCAGAGTTTTGAAATGCACTGTAAGGAGGTGTACTGCTGTGAAGCCCCATTGCAAGGATCAAGTTATGTATTTCACATTGAGGATAGAAAGGAGGAGAAGGGATGGATTCTGAACTGGAGAAAAAAAATTAATGAAAGGTGTCTGTGGCTTAAGCAGTGGGCAAACTCCACCAAGTCAGAGCACAGAGCACACCCATCATTCCAGTAAAGGGAATGCATTCTTAAGAGGTGAAGCACTTCAGCCTGGAAAATGGACAACATGATAAGGGCTGTTGCCTTTTGATTAGTATTTACCTCTGGCAGAGGAATAACCTACATTTGGACAGATTTCCCAACCACGGTTTTCAGATAGCAAACCTTAGGAGAGCTATCTGTGACAGCTTTTACTATCTGTTAGTTTGGAGCAAAAATCTGTGAGAAATTAAGATTTGGAGAAATCTAGGCATTTTAGGGAAGTATGCTCCCTGTAATTAAATAAATACATAAGCATTTTTCTAAAGATCCCTCTTAATGTAGATAGTTTTTATTCTTTGTTCACAGGTGAGCACTATATGGGCACTGAGTTGAGGTGAGAGAACAAATCCTGCTTTCATGGAATATATTGGTTTTTAAATCAGGAAAATACTGCTGCTCACAAGGTTCCATAAATATATGGAAATATATTTAAAATTCCATTTTAAATACTTCAAATATAGTTATAGGCTTTGTAATGAATAAATGGTAGGCAATTTTAAGGAAGACATAGGATAAGACATATTAATTATAGCTGTTAAAAATAAATAATTTGTTTTGAGAAAACTGTGAAGATATTAAAACCCAAAACAAAACAAAAAAAGATCAGATGTCCTTTATCAAAGCTTGCTTTTAAAACTTGTAATACGAAGAAGATGATCTTGAAAGAACTACACACCTACATAATTACAGGAGGTGGTAACTCTTACTGGGAATTTTTCCAAATATAAATAGGTGAGAGGTCAAACCCATTTGATGCTCACCCAGCATGATTTCATGAATAATACAGACGATGGAATTTAACCACTATTAACCAGTATTTAGTAACTACTGATCTATATTGAAAGTAAGAAACAAAGAAGATTTTTTTACTATCACAGACTAAGGTGCTGCCATGAGAAGAAATCTAATGTCATTAAAGATATGCTTTAGAAGAAATCTATCAAAAAGAGTCAGTGAGATTAAGTATTAAAATTGCATAATCATCTTCATTAATCAAAAGGATGTGCCTGGCTCCTTTATCTGTCATCCTTAATTAGATAGGAAATAGGGCTCTTCACTGAGTTCTCTGCCAACTTCCACTCAACTTACAGCCTGATGTTATGGAGCCAGAAGTATTTCAAATACATGTATTAGTCTTTTTCTGTTCCTATTATTACTTGAAGTGACTTGTTTGAGTTGAGGCTTGCTCTGTCATGAATAGTTTATCTGTGCAGTCACGAGTACTGCAAATGGAATTGTCCACATAAATAAGCACTGCAGGACTGGGCTTGAAGTCAGTGAGATTCAGGCTAGTGTAGAGGTTTGCCTGGGAGAAGTCTTTGCAGCAGACTTGACAATTTCTGGGAATGCTGCTTTGGGTTTTTGTATGCTGAAAGTCCTGTGCATGTTTAGAATATATTATAAGTAATTATGACTTTCAAAATCAGAAATCTTTTGTGAAAGAAATCTAATGTAATAGTTTAGCTTTTCTTATTTATTCTTTCATAACATAACAAGCCCTTGCTTGGTTCCTAACAATCCATCAGACTAATTGGATCAGTACCACACCTCCCTTTTGGGATGCGCAGTTGCTCAGGAACCAGCAGTCTGGGGCAAGACCCAGTCTGACTTGGCTTCAGTTGGGAAGTTGTCTTGCAGATCTTGAAGAGGAGGTTATTGGTCTTAGTCAAAAGGTTAGGAAAGTTACGGTGTTTTCACTGTGGTAGAGATGACACTATAGATTCTAGGTCCCAGGAAGACAATGTGAAAGGATTTCTGAGGTTTCAGAGTACTTACCCACTTTTTGTTTAATTTCACATGGAAGATTGCTGCCTTTTAAAGACCAAGTGAAAAATACCCTCTTTCTTCCCTAATATGGCAAAGTGAAATTGAAGTTACCCCAGGCCCAGCATTAGAGCTACGAGTCTTTTTACCATTAATTTTGTGATGTTCATAAAACTGTTCAGTATTTGGATGGTGTTATCATTAAAATGCAGCCAGTATTATATTTCACAGAGGTCCTGAGATAAAAAACTAAACCAGCCACTTTAAAAAAGTGTACCTTGAAGACAGAAGTAAATCTTGTCTTTCTTGTATCTCTTCCACTGGAGAAATAAAAGCCATACAGCTGAATTATTTTCATTTGTGTCAAGCAATGAACTTTTACTTGACTTGACTTGAATCTCAAGTCTATTTTCTTGATGATAAGGCTAAATTTTTGATTTCTGAAATTCAATCACATTGTTCCTATGTGTGCCTATTGCACAACCCTCACCCATTCTCCCCAGTTGGTTTAGTCACTTCCAGAACTGCATTTCTCAGTAGCTGTTGTTCAGACTCAAACTGTGTGGTGTATATGTGTGTTCACACCACTTTGATTTCAGAAGAAAGGTTAATTCCCCTGGAAGTTCTGTCCCTGTTTTAGTTTTGCTGTGTTTCTTTTCTCAAACTGCCTTTCATCTTTGCTGTCAGATTAAAGGGAGGAAACCTCAGATCACAATATGAATGGTGGGAAAGGACTTAAGTAATTCAAGGAATGCATCTGGGAGACAGGCAAGCTTTATTACAGGAGAGAAAAGGATGAAGGACTGTACAGTTTAAAATGTGTATGGATTAACAGTTTTAGGAATCCTACCCCGGCTCTCCTTGTACAGCTCCATTTGTAAGAGTGACTGTGGGAAAAATGAAATCAGTCACTATCTTGCAAGTCACTAGTTTGTTAGGGGCTTTTTTGTAGTTCTCTGTAATAGCAGCAGGCTGGTCCCAGTGATCTAGAGGTCCTCCTGTACTGGATTTTTTGGATGACTTCTGTAACTGGTCTGAGTTTCCCTGTCAAATGCTAGTGTAGACAAACTACAAGAAGCTTGGAAGCTTCCGTAGACTGTCTATTTCTCCATATTTTTAACCTGAAGAGAGCAAGCCTTTTGCCATGAGTCAAAGAGGATGAAAAAAAGGATGCCCTATGGTTGAACTGTTTAACAGTCTTCAATCCAAAAATGAGAGTAGGATCTGTTGCTGATAATTTTGTTGGTGGTGATTATGAGATTATTGTATTTGGTATGTTTTCTTCAGACTGGGGAGACTGGGAAGAGAAGTGATGGGGTGTTTGGTTTTCTAAATAATAGATCACAAATCTCATTATGCACCTTAATTAGCACCTTCAGCACTTGTTTCCACCTTCTACAGGAGCTGATGAAACCTGTTGAACTTAATGTGAATCTTCCTGTTAAATTTAACAGATAGCAGATCTGTGCTGAGCTGTCTTCTGTATGTTTTAACAAACACAATTTCACCTTCTCTCTCAAGGCTTTGTCTTACTCAGCTTCCCTACTCCCTGACTTACCAGTGCGTACTGTTCTACCTTCTAATCTCTTTCAGGCAAGGGCGTTTTTTCTTCTCCACACTTTAGGAAGATATCACATTTGGCTAGAGCATGTATTTGCAGGCATCAGAAAAAAAAAAAAAGTAATTGCATAAGGAGAAATTTTGGCTTGGCCAGCATGGTTACTAGCTCAGCTTACTTAGTAAGCAAGCTTAGTGGATGCACTCCTCCCTCCCCACCCTCCCTCTCCTCCCAGGGGCAGGGCCCCAGTCCCAAGTCTCACCCAGAATAGCCAGCAAAGTTCAGCTTCTCTCTGAGAGCAGGAAGTAAGCCAGCAAGGGGACTGTGTCTGAGTGCGGAAG